CCATTAGCAGTCCCCACCCACAGCTCTCTCCGTGGGCAAGGATGAAGCCTTGTTTGCACACGAAGTGCAAAGCTGGCAGTGGGTGCTCAGTAAATAAATCACTTTGCCTGTTTTAAAACAACGCTTTGGGAAAATTCCTCGCCTCCAATAGAGTGACTTATAGTAGCCGGCAGATTTCGAAGACAAACAAATTGCAAGGCACTTGGTGTTACAAACCAGCTGAGATTTCATGTAGGTGAGACCAGAGCCCCAGATCATTCTGTGAGAAGCAGGCCTGGCCAAGGCACCCTTGACAAGGGCGTTAGGATGAAAGGATGCTGAGTCAGGATCATGGCAGGCACAAGGTGCCAGTGAATAAGGGGTTGTAAGGCAAGAATTTGATCTCAAACCCAGCCAGAACACTGCGTACTCATCACCCTTGGGATCCTCCTTTGGTGGGAGTGGGTGGCCTGTCCTGGAATGTATGGATTCATCTGTATTCCTCAAGAGAACGCAGGATTTGAGAGCTGGAAGGGATGTCTCAGCCTGTATTCCCTTTCTGTTCACGGATATGCCAAGTCGAGGTTTCTTGTTCAAATAAACATAGCTGTTTGCCTTAAAGGGTTGGGAGGCAGAAAGCGTGCCCAGCTGTGGACACCGCCCTCCAGGTCATCCCTGAAGATGCCTGATTTCTGGTACACAGACAGCACCTACTGCAGCCTGCTGTCTCCCTCCAATTAAGTCCAGGTACAAGTATTCACTGAGCACCTACTAAGTGCTGAGTGCTAGGCCAGGTGCCCTGGAAGAGCAAAGAAGCAGAGGTCACTTAGGCTCCAGTAGAGCATTCACCAGGTGCCAGCAGAGCCCAGAGCCCTATGCAGACCACAGTGTGCGCTTCAGAGGTCAGGACTGCGGAGGTGCCCGGCCTCGAGAGGCAGGGAGTGATGAGGGCGTGGCCCCAGGCCCAGCTTTTCTCCCCTCCTTCTGGGCTTCCTGCACTTCTGATGATTCTCACGCAGTCTCCTTGGTCACCCTGCCCTGATGGCCCCCAAATCTGAACCTTGGGCCACATCTCTGCCCAGAGTTCCAGACCCAGAGGTCTAGTTGGCGTATCAAGCTCAACATGCTCAGCATACCCCAAACAGAAGCTCCCCTCTTCCACCAGGCTGTTCCTACTCCTGGAACCTCTACCCTCACCCAGACCCTCCCCCAGCTCTTCTCTCTGCCCCCACTCCCTTCTTCCAACTGGCTACCAGTCCCTGTCCATTCTACCTCCTCAATCTTTTCTAGCCCATCCCCCTGTGATCTCTTTCTTTATCGGTGCTGTTCGAGGTCAGGCTTTCTTCCCTTCGGTTGGGTGTTACAGTAATGGTTTCCCACACTGGCCTCTTGCTCCCCACAAGCCATGCTCCAAGAGCACAAACTCCTGTTCAGACCCTCGGCGGCTCCTCATCACCTCCGAAAAGGTGAAGAAGCCAGGCCCACCAGGCAGAGGCCACCCACGCAGGGCTGCCCTAGTTCCTGGGCTACCTGAAGCCTGGTCCTTGGCCCTCCCTGTCACTGTGAGAGCTGACCTCTCTACATCTGTCCAATGCATCCCTTTTGAGCTACAGTCAGCCAGAGTTTGTTTATGTTACTTGCACCCAAATCACATGACTGATCCCTCCTCTCAGGCCTTCCCCATGCTGACCCGACTGCTCAGCATGCCTGCTCTGAGCCTGTCCACCTGGTAAGTCACGGCGTCTCCCTGAGAGATTCCAGAGGTTGTTACTCTCTGTTCCTGCTCTTTCTGGTACTCCCCTCAGGACAGCGACAGTCACGCCATGTCGCGTCTGGGTCTCAGAGGCAGAACCTGGGAGCCTGGGTCTGCGGGGCTCAGTGGTAGGGACTCTGTCTCTCTCGTCTGCCGCACCCCCTTAGGAGCACATGTGTAGCCCCATGAGGACACCGGCTCCCCAGTCGCTACTAGGACACATTTAAGAGAAGAGGCGGGGGGTGTGCACCACCACCTTCACCACGTTGTGTCTCGATCCTGAACAGAGCATCAATGCCCAGAGCATTTTCTCTTCCAAAGGAAAGGGGCAGCATTCACTACCTGTTACCAAACTCTGCTTTCTCTTCTCAGAACAATTGTGAATCTGCACTTTACTCAGCTGGAACCAGGGTTAGGTCAGGTGGGAGAGAGCACATGCCTTAGAACTCCAGGCAGCTGGCAGGATGCCATGGCTCACGCCTGGAATCCCAGCACTTTGGGAGGCTGAGGCCGGTCAATCACCTGAGGTCAGGAGTTTGAGACCAGCCTAGCCAACATGGCGAAACCCCGTCTCGACTAAAAATACAAAAATTAGCCGGGTATGGTGGCGCATGCCTGTAATCCCAGTTACTCGGGAGGCTGAGGCAAGAGAATCGCTTGAACCCAGGATTGGGAGGGCCTGGGCAACAGAGTGAGACTCCATCTTGAGGAAAAAAAAAAAAAGAAAGAACTCCAGACAGCCATCTTAACTCTGCTGTTTCCTCGTGTGTGATATTGGGCAAGTCACTTAACTTGTGTGTGTCTTGATGGCTTTATCTGAAGAATGAGAAGGGTGATGCTTCCTGGTAAACTGTTATGAGGAGCAACAAGACCCATGTGTGCGATGCACAGCAGGTGTTTGATTCATGGCTGTCGTTAGTGTCCTCGGTAGATGGGAAGGCTCCCCCACTGTTCTCAAGCCCCCAAGTCTGAGAGAAGGGGAGGATTGCTCTGGCCTCTCCTGTGCCCTCTTTTTGTGGGAGGAGCTTGTCTGATCTGGGAATCCTGAGACTGGGTGTGCTCAGCCCCACCAGCTCTTTCCCTTACCAGCCTGCCTTGTCCTCTGGTTGCCAGCCTTGGTGGAGGGTGAGGGGGACACAGGGAGCTTCCAGAACAGTCCCCAGCAAGTCCCCAGGAGGCATGCTGAATTCTTATGGGGGTGTATGAGGGTGGCTGTGAGTCAAGCCTCCTCCTCAAATTCAGCCCTAATGGTGATAAAGCTGATCTTCAGATCTCCGATTTCCTTCTCATTTGGTCCAGAACTCAAAAGGTAAATAGGAAAGTGTCAATTATCTAGCAAACGCTTGTGTAACACTCATATGTGCCAGACCCCATTGCAATTGCTTTACCAGTCTTAATCCATTTAAACTTACCAACAACCCTATGAGGTAGTTACTACTGTTACTTCCATTTTACAGATGAGAACACTGAGGCCCAGATTAGGGTAATTGGCCCAGAAGCCCACAGCTGTGATAGATGCAGAGCCAGGTTTGGAACCCAGGTAACCCAGCTCCAAAGTCCCTGGCTTTCCCACTGCTGCAGCCCTCCCATGGTCCCTGTCAGTGCATTCTGTAACACTTACTCTATCCACCAAGCATGCCAGCCTGCAAAATATATTAGTGTTGTATTCCTATTTTAAGACAAAACAATGGCTTGAGGAAATAGATAAGGAGTTGTGCTTCCTGGAGCTCTGGGGTTCGCCTGGCCCTCCCAACAGTGCAGATCAGGGTGACTACCAGCAGGACGGGTAAGGCTTGAGAGGCTGCAGGGAGTGTGGGGGCGGCTCCATACTGGTCAGCCCTCCTGGAGGCAGAAATTACTAACTGGACATCAAAATACATGAGCCACTGGGAAGAAATCTAATAAGCACACGGAAACATACCAAAAGAGGAAAGGGGGAAATGTAGCTACAAACCAAAGACAGGGAGGCAAAGGCTGAGCAGGGGGCCCGGGACTGCAGCCTGCCTTCCAGGAAAGTGCGTTGGAGAGCAGTCTTAGGCACATGGAGATGTGCTAGCTATTCAGAAGCCCGTGCTCATTTTGCTCTTGAATAATTAATGTAAATTCAGGGAACGGGTACATGTGGTGGGGGGAAAATGGCAGCAGCCCAGCCAGGAAGGAAGCTGGATCGGCCTTACAAATGCGGAGATGGGGGAAGGGCCGGGTAGGAGCACAGCTCTTCAGGTCTGACAGCTCAGGGTGTGGCCCAGCTCAGCCTCTCTCCAGCTGTGTCGCCTTGAAGCTCTGAACTGGTTTCTCCATCTGCGGAGGGTGCCTGTGGGCACGTGAACAGCTCTCTGTTGAGATTCCTGTCAGTGTGAAGGGTGCAGTTGGGGACCTGGTGTGTGGGATGGGATGGCATCAGGCTGATGGGGTAGGGAATAAGCAAAGTATTTCTGGCCGGGCGTGGTGGCTCACACCTGTCATCTCAGCGCTTTGGGAGGCCAAGGCGAGCAGATCACTGGAGGTCAGGAGTTCAAGACCAGCCTGGCCAACACGGTGAAACCCCATCTCTACTAAAAATACAAAAAGTATCTGGGCATGGTGGCGGGTATCTGTAATCCCAGCTACTTGGGAGGCTGACGCATGAGAATCGCTTGAACCCAGGAGGCAGAGGTTGCAGTGAGCCAAGATCACGCCACTGTACTCTAGCCTGGGCAACAGAGCGAGACTCCCTCTCAGGAAAAAAAAAAAAGAAGAAGTATTTCTGACAAGGGCCTGGACTTCTTGGTTGTTCTCTTGGGGCCATTATGGCCCAAGCAAATGCTGGCTGCCCAGAATGTGCTAGACAAGCCCTCCTGGAGACTGTTGTGAGCACTGCTGGAGACTGGCCGGGGCCTGATCCACAGCTGCCATCCTGACGGATGGGCAGGGCCACATCTGCGGGAAGTGGGCAAGCAGGCCCAGGCTGCCATGTCTGGCAGATGGAGCAGAGTGTGCCTGTAGGACTGGCTTCGGAGCATGTGACCACTGCAGTCACAGAGGGCCTCATGTTCAGAAGGGGGACCTATGATTGGGGGTTAATGCTCTGCAGTCACCAACTTGAAATTCTTAATAATTGTATCCTTGAATCTGTGTTGTGTAAGCGAAGTCTGATAAGAAAATGGAGCACACACCGGGCTTGGAGCCTCAGCTCACACATGGCCCCGCCCCTGTCCCCTCCCTGTCTCCCTGTGTTAGTCCTGATTCTCTGGGCACACGAGGCTCATTCTTCCTATGCTCACTCCTAGTGGTGGAAACACTGCCTTCCACAGTGTCTGGAGCTGCCTCCCACACCGCAGTGGCTGTCCCCATCCTTGGCTGGCAGCAGCATGGCACCTACCTCTGAGCCAGGTACCAAACATGTCTGGGTACAGAGGGTGCATCTTTTGGGGGTTCCCCTCCACCATGGGTTGGGGTGATGGCCATGCAAGGGGAGATAGTTTCCATTTTTCCCCTTTCCCCCTCCTGCTGGAGTGTCACACTTCCTTTTTATTTTGAGACACTTTGTCTCCCAGGCTGGACTGCAGTGGCGTGATCTCAGCTCACTGAATCCACCTCCCGGATTCAAGCAATTCTCCTGCCTCAGCCACCTGAGTACCTGGGGGATTACAGGCACCCACCACCACACCCAGCTAATTTTTGTATTTTTAGTAGAGACAGGGTTTTGCCATATTGGCCAGGCTGGTCTTGAACTCTTGATCTCAAGTGATCTGCCTGCCTCAGCCTCCCAAAGTGCTGGGATTACAGGTGTGAGCCACTGTGCCCAGCCAAGGAGTGCCACGTTTTTGCTTTGCATTGAGTTCCACAAATTTTGTAGCTGGCGCCATGTGACTGAGACAATATTGGGAAGCCACAACCTTAAACTCTGCTCAGGACTGTCCCCAGCAGAAGGGGAGAGCACTCCTGTGGCCTCTGGCTTCTCCATGGCGCAACAGTTTGGCATAGAGATGGTGTAGCTCAAACCACCGACATTCTCAACCTGTGCTTGGAGCCACCATCCATTGACCTCTGCATGCAGGAGGACATTTCCTAGGGGATATGGCAACTGTGCCGAATCTTCCAGAAGGAGCAGGGCTGGGCCGGGGCTGGAAAAGTCTCCCTAGGCTGCAGGGAAAACATTTGCTAACATGGAACTGTTTTGATATTGGTAGAATCCTGGCGTTGGACAGGCCGAGTGCGGAGGCTTCGTGGCAGGGAAGGCCACTGAGGACTCTGGAGAGGACAGGTTTAGACTACCTTGTACACAAGCTGCAGAAGTTTAGATCTTCTCTTTTGGCTAGTTCTCAAACCTTATCAGGTGGCCTGAAATGGAGGCCAAAATCACTTGCTTGAAGCAAGATATTCCTTGAAATTTTATAACACTTCCTTACAATATATGTGAACTGTATGGTAAAAGAATTGTTTTATGTTATTATAAAAATATGGGCCAGGTGTGATGGCTCGTGCCAGTGCTTTGGGAGGCTGACATGGGCGGATTGCTTGAGCCCAGGAGTTTGAGGCTGCAGTGAGCTATAATTGTGCCATTGTATTCCAGCCTGGATGACAGAGTTCCTGCCCCTAAACACACACACACACACACACACACACACACACACACACACTCCAAAAGGTATGGAGGGATGGACTGATGCTGATGGTCCAGGGAAGATGTTTTCCCTTCCTCTAGAAAATGTTTCCTCCCAACACTGTTCTAGTGGAAGAAGCTCAGAGCAAGGTAGAAAAGGGGTGCTGAATGAATGATTGATACAGTTAATAGCTAACAGAATAATGTGATCAGTAGATATTTTTCAAATGTGTACAAAGATGTATAAGATGCAGCCCTTTGGCTGGGCGCGGAGGCTCAAGCCTGTAATCCCAGCACTTTGGGAGACCGAGATGGGCAGATCACGAGGTAAGGAAATCAAGACCATCCTGGCTAACATGGTGAAACCCCGTCTCTAGTAAAAAAGAAAATCCAAAAAAACTAGCCACGCGAGGTGGTGGGTGCCTGTAGTCCCAGTTACTCGGGAGGCTGAGGCAGGAGAATGGTGTAAACCCAGGAGGCGGAACTTACAGTGAGCCGAGATCCGGCCACTGCACACCAGCCTGGGTGACAGAGTGAGACTCTGTCTCAAAAAAAAAAAAAAAAAAAAAAAAAAAGATGCAGCCCTTTCCTTGAAGAAGCTGATATTCTAGTATAGGAACAATTCTACATAAGCTAATTGTATGTTTCCCATTGCTGCTGTAATGAATTACCACAAACTCAGAGGCTTAAAACAACTCACATTCCTTGTCTTACAGTTCTGGAGGCCAGAAGTCCAATGTGGGTCTCATGGGCTAAAATCAAGGTGTTGTCAGGGCTGTGTTCCTTCCAGAGGTTCCAGGGGAGAATCTGTTGCCTTGCTTTCCCCAGCTCCTAGAGGTTGCCCGCATTCCTTGGCTCCTTCTTCCACCTTCAAAATGAATCACTCCAACCTCTGCATGTCATTGCACCTCCTTTTCTCACTCTGACCTTCTTGCCTCCCTCTTGGAAGAACCCTTTTGAGGCTGGGAGCAGTGGCTCACACCTATAATTTCAGTACTTCGGGAGGCCAAAGTGGATGAATCACCTGAGGTCAGGAGTTCCAGACCAGCCTGGCCAACATGGTGAACCTTGTCTCTACTAAAAATACAAAAAAATTAGCCTGGTGTGGTAATGGGCACCTGTAGTCCTGGCTACTCGGGAGGCCGAGGCATGATAATTGAACCCAGGTGGCGGAGGTTCCAGTGAGCCAAGATTGCACCACCGCACTCCAGCCTGGGCGACAGAGTGAGACTCTGTCTCAATAAAAAACAAAATCCAGGCTGGGCACGGTGGCTCACGCCTGTAATCCCAGCACTTTGGGAGGCCAAGGTGGGCGGATCATAAGGTCAGGAGATCAAGACCATCCTGGCTAACACGGTGAAACCCCGTCTCTACTAAAAATACAAAAAAAAATTAGCTGGGTGTGGTGGTGGGTGCCTGTAGTCCCAGCTACTCCAGAGGCTGAGGCAGGAGAATGGGGTGAACCTGGGAAGCGGAACTTGCAGTGAGCCGAGATCGTGCCACTGCACTCCAGCCTGGGCGACAGAGCAAGACTCCATCTCAAAAAAAAAAAGAAATCAAAAAACCCTTTTGGTTATATTGGGCCCACTAGATATTCCAGGGTGATATTCCCATCTCAAGATCCATAATTTAATCACATCTGCAAAGTTCCTTTTGCCACGTAAGGACGCATATTCACAGGGCAGAAGGATTTAGTGTGTGGACATCTTTAGGGGACCATTACACACAAATGATTACAAGTCAAAGTGTCATGAGATACTCCCAAGGAAGCAGGACAAAGGGATTTAGTGGCCCTAAGAAGGGAAAGGTGCCATTTGACTGTGGTGGTCTGGGAGGAGCCCACTGAGGAGGTGGCATCAGAGCTGGGATAGCAGAGCAGGAGTGCACTCCAGGCAGAAGGCGGCAAATGAGCAAAGGTGCTGAGAGGCTGGGCAGGCAAGGGGTGCTTGTGGGAGATCGAGGTGTTGATTGGAAGCATCAGGCAGGTTAGAGGGGATGTACCAGACACATCCATGGTGCTGCCCGCATATGCCTTCCCATCCAAGGGAAACTATCTTAGGTGCTCCTCAAGCAGATGGCCCCAGACCCCACCAAAGTGGAGTGAGCAGCTCTGAGATGAGCTCTGAGGGTGGTCATGCTGTCGACCTCCTGCACCTGAGAAGCTGCCCAGGCCAGGACAATTGGCCAGTTGATCTGTCTCATTCACTGGGATGGGGAGATGCAGAAAGAATCCAGAGTTGGTGGTGGGAGCTGGAGCTAAAAGGAAACACAGAAAGCAAGCCCTGAGGCAGCAGGAGCCAGGACGGCCATGGGGGAGATAAGGTTATGAGTAAGCGAGAGGAAACCCTGAGTAAGCAGGAGGTGTTGGAAACCCAATTCTGAGTAAGCCTAAGCTCCGAGCTGGCTGATGGGAGCAGGAGCTCTTGGGGGAGATGGAGAGACACTGAGTCACCAAAGACACTGAATCAAAGAAGGCCTGCTGACCACAGTGGGCAAGACAGCCCAGGATGAGCCAGGCCCAGGGGCTCTACCATGCTTCCTGTCCTTTCCAGGAGTCTCCTAGCTGCCCTGTGTCCCAGTCCTGGCCCTGATCCTGGCAACACAGGGGACCCAATAAGCACCTCTATCCTATAAATAATTCTAATTTCATTTGAATTTAATGTTATTATTGTTATTATTTTTAGAGACGAGGTCTCACTATATTGCCCAGGCTGGTCTTGAACTCCTGGACTCAAGCTATCCTCCTGCCTCAGCCTCCTGAAGTGCTGGGATTGCAGGTGTGAGCCACTGTGCCTGGCCTTGAAAAATTCTTTGTGTTTGTTTATTTATTTATTTTAGACACTCTGTCACCAAGGCTGGAGTGCAGTGGCACCATCTCGGCCCACTACAACCTCCGCCTCCTGAGTTCAAGCAATTCTCCTGCCTTGGCCTCCCGAGTAGCTAGGACTACAAGCATGTGCCACCACGCCCGGCTAATTTTTTGTATTTTTAGTAGAGATGGGGTTTCACCATGTTAGCCAGTCTGGTCTCAATCTCCTGATTTTGTGATCTGCCTGCCTCAGCTTCCAAAGTGCTGGGATTACAGGCGTGAGCCACCGCGCCCAGCCTGTGTTTTATGTTTTTGTTACCCAAATTCACAGTGCAAAGCGCATGGGTTCTGCAATCATTCAAATACACTTTCAAGTTCTGGCTCATTCCCTTGTTGGTCATGGGACCCAGGCAAGTAACTTAATCTCACTGAGCTTCATTTTTTAAATTTTTAGACGGAATCTAGCTCTGTTGCTCAAGCTGGAGTGCAGTGGCCCAATCTCAGTTCACTACAACCTCCGCCTCCCAGATTCAAGAGATTCTCCTGCCTCAGCCTCCGGAGCATCTGGGACTACAGGCGCCCACCACCATGGCCAGCTAGTTTTTGTATTTTTAGTAGAGACGGGGTTTCACCATATTGGCCAGGCTGGTCTTGAACTCCTGACCTTGTGATCCGCCCGCCTTGGCCTCCCGAAGTGCTGGGATTATAGGCGTGAGCCACCCCGCCCAGCCACTGAGCTTCATTTGTAAGAGGAAGATTATATCCATCGAGTAGTTCGGCTGAAACTGCTGGTTTCTCTCCCAGGGTCCATTCTCCCCTTCTTCATTACCAACAGATCCTAATTTTGTGTGGGATGGCAATGTGCCCACCTGACGTGCTCCTCCAAAATCTCTTTGCGGCTAGTGGTGCCTGTGGACATTGTTCTTATTTATCAGATGAAGCTGGGGTTGGAGTTGTCATCTTGTGACCTTGAAGCAACCAGCATGATAACAAAAGCCAGCACACCACAGACAGCAGAGTGGAAAGGCAGTAAGAATCTGGGTCCGGTCTCTCACAAGGTTGTTGAGTCACTACACCAGTCCTGGAACACTGATCTCTGGAGAACTTGTTAGGTGAGAAATGATCTCCTCTTGGTTAAGCCAGAGGGTTGGGTTTTCTGTTATCTGCAGCCAAATGCATGTTACTATAAGGTTCTTAAGAGGATTACATGAAATAAAAATGATGCCTAATAGAAACTCATTACATGATTGCTATTAATATTTGATGATGAGGTCATTCAAGCATTCATTGCTTTCCCTTCATTTAAACACTTCCCAGCACTTTGCACGGAACCCTGCATGCAGAAGAGCCATAGCTATGATCTCTGAGAAACAAATAAATGAATTCTGAGACCAGGAAGAGACTTTTACACATTCGATCTGAATCAGGATATAAATGCTTGTCTTTTAGGGCTGAAAAGTAAAAACGTGGAGTTAATGTTTTCCTCGTAAATTAAATGGCAGCTCCAATGACCTGTGTAGTCATCCGCGTCATGTGGAGGCAACAAGAACAAGGAGGCATGAGTGGTTGATGGAAAGTGCTTCCTTCCTTCATGTCAGATGTCACAGTTACACTTCACTGGTGGTCTTGTTGGGTTTGATTTACACACAGATAAATACGCAAGCTCAGCAGTAAAGGGCCTTCAGCCAAGATTTTCTGTTCCGTATTTAAAAAGAAAGCTCCAGGCTGGCACGGTGGCTCATGCCTCTAATCCCAGCACTTTGGGAGGCCGAGGTGGGTGGATCACCTGAGGTCAGGAGTTCGAGGCCAGCCTGGCCAACATGGTGAAACCCTCTCTCTACTAAAAAAAAAATTAGCTGGGCATGGTGGTGTGCACCTGTAATCCCACCTACTTGGGAGGCTAAGGCAGGAGAATTGTTTGAACCCGGGAGGTTCAAAAGAAAGTTCCAGGGTCAGGCTCCTCAGATTCCCCTCAAAGCCAGGGCAAGCTGCTCATGTCATGAGACAGCCAAACACCTGTGAGTCTGGCGTGGTGGGGCTGAGGATTGCCCGGGAGCTGCTCTGTCCCTTCTGCAGGTCACCCCTGCTGCCCCAGACATCCCCCAGTGTCTCTGTGGTGACGCCACCACCAAGGCTTGCTGCCCTGAGCTGCCGCCCCTCTCCCTGCCTCACAGCCCATGGCCCAGGGATACAAGGTCCAGCTAGGGCAGCGCATCCAGGAGCCAAGTGACCTCGCTGTCTGCAGGCTGCAGTTTCTAGAACCGAGCACAACGTTGAGGAAATCAGATTGCAAAGCCCAGCAGGCTGTTCAAGTAAGTCAGCCATCTGCGGCCTCGATCTGAGCACCCGTGGAGCGGAGGCCGTCCCCCAGCAACCTGAACGTGGCGGCAGTGGACTTCCTCTGCCTCATGGGCACTTTGTCTTGGAAGCTGAAGGGCGCAGCTCAGGCCAGACACTGTCCTGCCCCTGCAGTCTCACGTGTCTTCTTTGTTTCTGGGTATGTGCCCTGCCTCCAGCACTGAATCCATGATTCCTTGAAGGTGGGAATCTTGTCTTGTTCATTCTTGTCTCCTGGTGGCATTATTTGTTGGGATGGGGAGTGAGAAGAAAACTTGTGAATTGCATGAATTTGTAAATCAGATGGATGTGGAGTGTGATCTTGACTCTCAGTGATGCCAGGGTTGAATGAGATGACACAGGCGAAGGAATGAGCATAGCAGCTGGTACACAGAGGGCATGGAAGAAATGGGTGCACCTATAACCATGAGAATTTATTTCTTCCTGGTGCCTGGCTTTAACTGAGACACTCCTATCCAGTACAGACAACTCCATCCTGGACCCTCTCTTCCTTCCTTGCCTCACCCTTCCTGCCACCTTATCTCCCCTTTTCTGGAATTTTCCACTCCGCACCCAATCCTTGGATCTGAGCAGACACCTCCACCCTCTCCTCCCCGGCATGGTTTTTGTACTTTTTATTTTCCGTTATCAATTTCTGGGAAGCTGGTCCTCTGCTTGGAACCCCATCCCACTTTCAAAGCTTTTCTTTAGCCAGCAGGTGAGTGGCGCTGCTTGGGGCGATGGAGTTTTGCTCCCTGCATGAGGCATCCGGGTTGCATGTTAAAGTGCAGCTTCCTGGATCCCAGCCCTAGTTTGAGCACCCCCAGTGTAAACAGACCAGCTTCTATAGATTTGGGGTTCTGTCTACAGGATGCCCCAGCTCTCCAGAGTCCAGGCAGCCGAGCGTTGACATGAGACATGGCCAGAACCTGAGCTCCAAAGTCTGGGCAGTGGAGAAGCGTGAGAGGGGAACAGGAGCAGGCACAATCAGGCATCAAGTTACACATTTGCTGGGCATATAATGAGGAGGCAATGGGGATGGTGACCTTGGACCTGAGATCTGAATGACAAGGATCAGATCTCAGGAATAACAGACTGTCTGATGGTCTGTTACTGGGATCTACTGTCAAGAACAAGATCAGGATTTGTCATAATCCATTTTATGTGGCTATAACAGAATACCACAGACTGCATAATTTATAAAGGAAAGAAATTTATTTCTCAGTTTTGGAGGCTGGGAAATCCAGTATCAAAGTGCTGGCATCTGTCAAGGGCATTTTTGTATCATCCCATGGTGGAAGGCGAGAGGGTGAGAAAGAACAGGAGATGGAACTCACAGCTTCAAGTCCTTTCAGATTTGGCACTGATCCGTTAATGAGAATGGAGCCCTGGTAACCGAAACACCTCCCATTAGGCCCCACCTCCCAAAACTGTTGCCTCGAGGATTAAGCTTCCAACACAGGCTTTTGGGGGGACACATTCAGACCATAGCAGGATTCTAGACGAGTCTCTTTTCAACTGACACAGCGTGATGATTTTAACCAACTAACCATCAAAGAGCTGATCCCTAGAAATGGAGTCTCCTTGGAAAGGAGTCTGTGGCTGAGGACTTCTGTGGTATTGTCTGCCCCTCCTCAGGGTACTGGGAAGTGCCTTTCCAGGCCTTGTACCTCGTTTATTCCAGTATTAAGGGCACTGGCTTTGAGGAAAGGAGACCATGGGTTCCAATGCTGCTGGTCACTTATTCCTTCAGAATCCATTAACAAATGCTGGCTTCTCTGTGTACCATACACTTATTTAGGTTCTTGGGAAACAGGCAAACCTCTGCCCTCACTGGGCTTTTGTTCTATTAGGAGAGACAGGCAACAAACAAGTAACAGATCATAGCTCTGAGTGACATGAAGAAAATGTAGTGGGTCCGAGGGATCTGTACTTGTGCATTTCATATGGGGTGACCTCTCTGAGGAGGTGACATTGGACCTGAGATCTGAATGACAAGGAGAAGCCTTCCTGTGGAAACCCGAACAAATAGCCTTCCAGAAAGAAACTGCTCGTGCAAAGGCCCTGAGGAGGAAATGAACCTGCCAAATATGAGGGACAGCAGAAGGAAGCTCCACTGGGGTGGAGGGCCGTGAGGGAAGCCAGATGAAAGAATCAAGGAGAGCTCAGAAGTGGAGTTCAGACCGTGAGGTGCTCTGTAGGCCAAGAAGGGAGCTCAGATTCCATTTTGAGGGTGACTGGAGGCCACCGAAGGGTTTTGAACAGTGGAATGATGTAATTTATGTTTTAAAAATGTGACCTAGGCTGTCGAATGGGGAGCTGGCTGATGCAGGGGAGGGGGCAGGCATAAAGCCAGTAGAAGGCCCTCCATCTGACATCCTCTGCCTCACTGGCCTGTGCTGCTGAGACCCCAGCAGGCCTTGCAGTCACCTCTGTCCATATTTGCACCGTGCCTTAATCCATCCCTCCTGGTTAGAGATGACAGAGGCACCCCTTCCTCTTCCCCAGCTGCTATTAACACAGGGTGCGAGAGCCCAGAACGACTCCTTCCCACGCTCCTTTATTCTCTCTGCAGACGGTCTTCCCACCACCTTGTTCCGAGGCTCTGGGTGAGTGTTCCAGAAGCTGGCGAGATGCAGGATCATCTCCCTCATACACACAAATGCCATGGCAACAGCAACTCCGTGACAACAGCAAAGGAAGCCAGACTGGAATTTGCCAACCCAGAGAGTCGACCATCTGTGAGGCCAAACCCTCCAAATGTTGCCCGTTCTAAGTGCTCATCTCAACCAGGCTTTTGTACATAGCAGAGGCAACATTTAAGTGACATAAGAATAAACAGTGGGCACATGTGAAATCCCTTTAAAGTGTGCATTTTTCTGCCCCAATGTGACTGAGGTGATGAGACAATGAAGAAAAAAGGGGGACTAGGTTTGGGTGAGTGGGCATGGTAGATTTCAGTAATAGGAAATTTAGAATGTCCATAGGGGAGTTCTCCATAGAAAAAACGGCCCAGTTAGTTTATATCTATGCTTCCATTTTCAAGTCCAACAATCTTTTAGAAGTTTACTTTCCTCAAGGCAAAACGTTGTGTATATATATATTTTTTGCTTTTTTTGGAGACAGGGTCTTCCCCTGTCACCCAGGCTGAAGTGCAGTGGTGCAAACATGGCTCACTGCAGCCTCGACTTCCTGGGCACAAGCCATCCTCCTGCCTCAGCCTCCTTAGTAGCTGGGACTATAGGCATGCACTATCATGCCCAGCTAATTTTTAATTTTTGGTAGAGACAGGGTTTTGGCATGTTGCCCAATCTCAAACTCCTGAGCTCACGCCATCCTCCTGCTTTTGTATCCCAAACTTGTGGGATTATAGGCATGATCTACTACATCCGGCCAAAGATCTGTGAATAGTTCCATCAAAGGCCCCAGTAAATTTAACCCTCTGGGTCTTGAGTTTCCACAGGTCTCCTTTGGTTCTAATAATAACAGTGATAACATCTGGCAGGAACTGTGCCAAGTCCTTCTTATGCATTTTCTCATTTACTCTTTGTAACGAACTTAGGAGGAGGGACCGTGATGACTGTTGGCTCCCTCCATATCTGCGGGGATCTGTGGGTTGGGTTCTACCAACTGTGGATTGAAAACATTTGGGGGAAAAAATCCACAATGAAAAATAACAATACAACAATAAAAATAATACACAATTTCAAAATACAGTGTAACAACTGTTTACATAGCATTTTCATTATATTAGGTATTTATAAGTACTCTAGAGATGATTTAAAGTATATGGGAGAATGTGTGTAGGTTGTATGCAAATAATACTCCAATTTATGTAAGCAACTAGAACATCCTTGGATTTTAGTACCTGTGGGGGTCCTGGAATCAATCCTCCCACAGATATCGAAGGATAACTGTACCTTTTCTTTTTTTCTTTTTGAGACAGAGTCTCGCTCTGCTGCCCAGGCTGGAGTGCAGTGGCGTGGGCTCGGCTCACTGCAAGCTCTGCCTCCTGGGTTCACACCATTCTCCTGTCTCAGCTTCCTGAGTAGCTGGGACTACAGGTGCCCGCCACGATGCCGGGCTAATTTTTTGTATTTTTAGTAGAGACGGGATTTCACTGTGTTAGCTAGGATGGTCTTGATCTCCTGACCTCGTAATCCTCCCGCCTTGGCCTCCCAAAGTGCTGGGATTACAGGCGTGAGCCACCGCGCCCGGCCTATACCTTGTTTTTAAAGAAAGTTGAGAAAACATGCACGGCTTGGAGCTTGCTGGAGGCCGGGCAGAGGCAGCTGGGAAGGATTATTTTATTTTACTTGCTGCCTAAATGCTTGGAAGCCTTGGGTGACCCTGGGAACAAGTGAAAGTAAGGCTCAGGTGCAGGCGGAGGCTGGGGGGGTTGTGGGAAGGCCACTCTCAAGGGCAGGTCGAGGGACTTCGCGGAGAGCCCTGTTTGAAGAGGCCAGGGTTGAGGACAGGAAGAGCCGTTTTGGAAAGCGAGGCTGGTGGATTTGGCTGAGGGTGTGTGGAACTTGACGGGACAGAGGACTGAGCTGGTGGATACACACAGGAGCCAGGCGCTCAGGAGAGGTCAGGCTGGATGGGCACACCCAGGAGCCATCAGTCAGAGATGACAACGGCATTTTTGGCTCGAGTCTACAGGTACTTCTCTGGGGCCTGCCCTGCTCCCTCAGGCCACTTTGGCCCCTGCCCTGTGTCCCTAAGATACGCTCATCTCTGTGCCTGGCAGGCCTGGGCTCCTTCTTGCCTCCCTGCTTGACCAGGAGCTCCTATAGGCCACAGACCATGCCCAGCTCATCTTAGAGACCTCAGCTCCTGACCAGGGCCATCCATGCCAGCATGTGTGGGTCCCAACTTCCTCCTAAACCTAGGAACTCCTCAGCTTTCTGCTCACTCCACGGCATCACATCAGTAGCAAGTCGTTGCAATTCTTCCTCCCTGTCGTGAATTGAATTATGTCATCCCAAAAGATCTGTTGAACTCCAGCTCCCAGTAACTGTGAATAGAACCTTATTTGGAAATAGGGTCTTTGTAGATGCAATCACCTTAGGCTCAATTAGGGGGGCATAAACTTATCTGACTGTCTTTATAAGAAGAGGTACAAGAGACCCACAGGAACACCACATCGGAGGCAGAGATTGGAGGGGGGCAGCTGAAAGCCAAGGAACACTGAAGATTGACACCAGAAGCCGGAAGAGGCAGGAAGGTTCTGCCCTTAGAGCCTGGCCCTGCAAGACCTTGATTTCAGACTTCAGTCTCCAGAACCGTAAAACAATACATTTCTGCTGTTTTCAGCCCCCACTGTGTAAGGTGCTTTGTTACGGCAGCCACAGGAAACCCGCACACTCCGTGAGGCCCTCTTACCCGTCTCTCCTCCTGCCCTCTCTCCCCACTGCCTGGCCCTGGCCTTCCCTGCTCTTCCCTTTCCATCCAGCAGTCCTGGTGCCACAGGAGGGCTGAGTCACAGTGAGTGCCCAAGTACCCTGTGCTGTCCCATACCTTTGCCCCTGCTCTTCCCCTGCCTGAGCTGCCCTCCGTCTTGTCTGATGGTGACTCCTACGCATACTTCAAAATTCAGGTCACCTCCGTGGTAGGGCGGTCCTGACTTCCAGGTTGAGGCAACCATTCCCACCACAGTTCTTCCCTTCAGCTCTCCTCTTGCCTCCGGCTCCTCCTGGCAGAGCCAGTTTAATTGCTTCTTATTTATGCCCCCTTTCCCCTGCCTCTAAGCATGAGTCTCTTGAGAGTAGAGAGTATATCCTGTGGCAGAGACTCAGTCATGGAGGTTGGCTGCTGTGTAGAGGGCTACATGAATGGCTGCATAAAAAAACTGGTTGGCTGGATGGTCAGATAACAGAAAACCTGAGAAAACATCAACACAATTGGTTCTGCATGTGCAACGTGCTCTTGTGGCCCTGGTGTTAGCAGGGAGGGATCCAGGGTTCGTGGCACCTGATGCTGATACAATTGAGGGGCATCCCCTTCAAGAAAAAACTACAAAAGCAGGTACAGGGCTTTAGAGGGGGCACAGAAGTGTAAGTTTTATCAGCATCCCGGCAAATTCACCTTTGCTGTTCGCTTTGCTGGGCACACCCCCCATGTCCCAGCCTTGAGCTCCTGCTGCGCTCACCCACTTCCTCCTTGCCTGACCGCGGACCGCAGGCGGCACTTTCGCTGAGATTGCTTCCCCTTGAGGTCTGCAGGTCTCAGGCCGGGAGAGCCTCGGCTGTCTCAGGAGCACAGGCTGAAACTTCATCAGCCTCCAGCCCAGCCGTGGTGAGCGCTGCCTTTAGAGCATGTTTGCCTTCCCTCCTCCCACGTGCTGCCCCCGTGGCCAGCCAAGCTCCATTGCATGGGGGTGCCAAGGAGACCTCGTTTCTGTCACCAGCTTGCAGGCTTGCAGGACCCTGGAAGGGCTGTTGTGGTATATTTGTTTTCAAAGCTCGTGTAACAAATGACCACCAACAGGGTGTCTTCAAACAACAGAAATTTATTCTTCCAGTTCTGGAGGCCAAATGTCCAGGTGCTGGCAGGGCTGCTGCCTCCAAAGGCTCTGGGGCAGGATCCTCCCCGCTTCTTCCTGCTTCTGGCAGCTCCTGGCATTCCTTGGCTTGTCCTGCCTCCACCGTCACATGGCTTTCCCTCTCTGTCTTCCCACTTCTTATATGGATGCCAATCATTGGATTTAAGGCTTACCCTAAAGCCAGGATGATGTCAGCTCAAGATCCTTCACTTGCATCTGCAAAGACCTTTTTCCAAATAAGGTCACATTTACAGGAACCAAGCGGTTAGGACTTGAACAGATCTCCTGGGGGACACAACTCAGACTGTTACACATGGGGACAATGATCGGACCGCACCTCACCTGGGAGGACAGCTGGCTGCTCTGCAACTGCAGGGATGGGAGGGCCAGCCCTGCCCCAGGGAGGGCCCTATAGGGAGCCCACCCACCACTGCACAGCTCCCGTGCTCAGTGCTCAGGGCCGTCTGTCCCTTTTTTTTTTTTTTTTTTTGAGAGTCTTGCTCTGTTGCTCACCTTGCAGGTTTAAAAGATTCTCATGCCTCAGCTTCCTGATTGGCTGGGACTACAGGCATGTACCATCATGCCTGGCTAACTTGTATTTTTTTGTAGAGATAGGGTTTTGCCGTGATGACCAGGCTAGTCTCGAACTCCTGACCTCCAGTGATCCACTCGCCTCGGCCTCCTAAAGTGCTGGGATTCCAGGAGTAAGCCACCGACCAAACCCAGTCAGTTAGTTCTCTTCTGCCTGCAGCAAGACCAAGAGCTCCTGGAGACAGGCGCGTCTTCCACCCCAGCTTCACCCCCACTCCTGGGGACAGGCGCGTCTTCCACCCCAGCTGCACCCCCACTTGTGGAGCCTCCACCGCTTGCCTCTCTGCTTCCAGCCCTCATGTTCCCCTCCCTCCCTCTGACTGGTCCTGACTAAGTAGTTCTCAGTCTTCCCCGCTTCTCCCTCTTTCCCCTGCGCTCCTCTTCATGGTCTCCCCCTTGGCCTGGCTCCAAGCTCCAAGCAGAGTGACAGGAAAGGGGCTGGGAAGGCGCCCTTTCCTGAGGCCCCTCACAATGGAGATGAGCTCTGGGCCAGGACTTCACCAGAGTCTCCTCCTCTGTCTGTGCACTTGGCAGTTCATCTTTCTGGAAAAGATCCCTACACACACACACACACATACACAGAAACCCGCTCACCTGCTGGTTCTGCCTTCTTGCCCTATTCCTGGCTGGGTTACCACCTGCCCTAGCCTGTCACTCCAGATCTCAGCCCCTATTTGGGTCCTTCAGAACACTTGTTACTGCCATGGGGACACCTCTGCCCC